GCCTCTCCCTCCACGCTGCTCGCAGGAGAGCGGGATTTCTCTGATTTTTTTTTTTTCTTTTTTAATTTTATTTTATTCTCCGTCTCCCGCCCCTTGTCCTCTCCAGGAAAATCCGAGCGAGGGACTCCGAGAGCGTGCTCCGAAATCCCTCTCTTCCCCAAACCCTCCCCAGACAATTTACAATGTGAAGTATTTTGCCAACGTCCTCATCGGTTGCAACGTGTTGCTTCGAATAATCCGGCCAAGAAATACTGCACTGACAAAAATATATAAATATATATATATATCTCCTGTAAATAAAATGTTTGCTATGGTTTGTAACCACGTCAGTCTGTTGACCAGGGGAGAGGGCCGCTGAGGCTGCCCCAGCTCCCTTCGCCCCGCTCAAAGGCAGCCACTGTCTCCCCTCGCCTTGAAAGCCTCCCGAGGCAGCCTTCTCCTTGGCGTTGTTTTTTTTTTCTTTCCCCCTTCCTTTTCTCATGGAGGCGATGACAAGGACCGGAGATTTGATTACGCAAAATTGTGCCCCCGGTGAGAAACTTGCCAATTACATTTGTAGAGCCGCATGTGCGTACATACGTGCGTCTTGTGAGGTGCCTTTCGGTGTGTGATGCGAGGCGGGACCGGAGTGTGTGACTCCCGGCGACTCTCGGGGGCGCTGCCAAGAGCCGGCGGGGCCGTTTGGGGGTGCGGGGGGGTTGGGAGGGGGGCGGCTTTGCTTTGCTTTGCTTTGGTGTCGTTCCCATTTGCCGTGCGCCTCTCCGCAAGCCCCCGCGGCGGGGTAGGGGAGGTAGTGCTCTTTGACGTCACAGCGTAGCCATGCGGCCGGGGGGGGCGCGCTGTGACGTCACGCAGGCGCTATAGGCGGCGCGGAGGCCGAGCGCAGGATCGGGCCGCGGCGGCGGGCGGGGGCGCGGAGCCCCGTGGGGCTGGGCCGGGGGTGCGGTGGGGGGCAAGGCCGACCCTGCCCCCCCCACGTCGGAGGGTTCTGTAGGGCTGGTGCCCTCCCCAGGAGGCAGGGCCGGGGCGTGCGGCCGGGGGACCCCCCCCGGGGATCCCTTGGGGTCCGGGCCGGGCTCCGCCGGCTCCGCTCGGGTTCCTCGTCGGCTTCGCTCCTCGGATAAATAGAAAGCGCCGCGGTGCCCGGTGCTCCGCTCCTGCCGGGGCACGGGGGAAGACGGGGGGGGGGGGCGCTTCTCAGCCTGCATCCCCCTCCTCCCTTCCCGAGCAGCACCGACTAAAGAGAAAGCCGCAGCGGTGAGGATCCCCCGTCCTTGCCCACCGAGAAGCGTGTTTTCTGCCTCGGGGCTTTGCGAGGCCCCAAGCGGAGCAATTCGGCTTTCTAACACGCGCGGGGCCGGGGGAGGCCTGATCCTGCCCAGGGAGGTGAGGGCGAGGGCAGGTGAAGCGAAGCCGCTTCCCCCCACCCCCCCCCATTCTGGGCCGATGGGCGCTGAGCCTGTGACACCGTTAGAAAGAAGGGGGAGACGGAGAAATCAGGCGAGGGACCGAGAAATTCCCGGTATCCTCCAGCGATGCGGAGGCGGGCGAGAGCCCGGCCCTGGCCTGCTGCTTCCCGGAGGGCTCAGGCGAGAAATCCTTCGGGGCCGGGGGGGGGGTTTGCCGGGGAGGACACGCTCCTCGGGGCCACCCCTGCTAGCGGGGTGGGGGGGGGGGGTGTGTGGGGGGGGGGGGGTCTCCGGCGGGGGG